TTATTTTTTATATAATTTAATATTTATAAAATATATTTATTATACTAATAAAAGTACAAGTTAAACAAATTTATAATTTTAATAGGCCAAAACCTGCTAGTGGCGAAGTCTCATCCAGTATCTATTAAATAGGACAATTTGTGAGTAGTAATTGGTTGGACGGAAAATCCAAATACTCATGTTATTAAAATAAGATATTTAAATAAATCATGAAAATCAACTAAAGACTATAATTTAGTGAAATACGGGCGCTGGGGTAATCAGCGACATCACCAATAGGGGGAAGGCATGAAACATTTAAATGAAAAAGCCTAATAAAGCTTTTCTGTAGATGCATTAGCAGATAGAGCCTGGCTTTTGATTTTGTTAGCCGGCGCCAATTTCTAACTTGCTGTAGAGAAAATAATAAGAGTGTGCTAGACAAAGAAGGTTTGTAAAGTAATTTTTTAAATATTAATAATATGACATTTCATTTGAATGATCGAGGTTTTAATTTTTTTTTTCAGTCCTCTTTGTAAAGGTTTTAGTTAATTAACTCATCTTAGATAAAATTGAAAAAAAAAAATTGTGCTGGATGTGTTAGTGGGGCTGCTATAAAATGAACAGCAATGAGAGATGAATTTTTTTAATAAATTAAATTATAATATTTTTAAATAATACAATTTGATTAATCAAAAAAATCCACCTACCTCTCCCCTCCGCTCAAATCAAACGAACCCTAAAAAATTAAATATTAACCAACAAAATAAAAAATAAATTTCTTTATCAATTAAGTGAGAACTCTTCAGGATACCTTCAGCTCGTTCTACTTTTCCTGTTCCTGTTCCTTGTGGACATCCCGTTCTCCCTGTTAGGTGCATGTTTTGTTCACACTTTAAGCCTATTGGGCATTGCATGATGAGATGGGCTGGAACCGAAACAGGACAATTGAGGGATGAGAATTTTTTAAGTGCATGGCAGGGGTTGAACCCCAAGCTCCTTCGGTCCTTGGGAGTGAACCATTATTAGGCCAATTAAAGTCAGTTAAATTCATACACGCAAATCAACAAATCATATGATACAATCCTAAAGGTAAACTCACTTTGATTTTAAAAGTTAGATTTAGAATTTAAATTTTAAGAGAAGTATTTAAAAAATTCATTTTTTAAGTACAATAATTAAATTGATTTAGAAATAACTTTTAAAATTATTTGAAAAAAAATCAATCTCTATGTACTGTGAAAATAATTTAAAAATATTTTGACCATAAAAATATTATATAATACATTAAAGATACCTTAGGCATGTAATTAAAGTATTAAACTACATTTTTTCCTAGCCAACGTCGGTTTGGGCTTATTGCATATATACGAAACACAATCATAACCTCAAAAACCAGAAATTAATGAAATAGAAAACACATTACAATAGGGACAAAGCAACACATATATAACCCCCTACACTTGCAAAGAGATGTTCATTTCGTCCCAGAAAATTAGCCTCTTTTTCTTGCGTTCAAATTTCAGAAGCCATTTTCGGATTTGAGTCGAAAACCTCCGTGATATTCCCAATCTGATCAATATTTTGGTGATCATTTTCTTTCTGTTCCTCATTCTCAATGTTTTTGTCGCAGTTGGGGAGTTGTGTTTTTTTCCAACTCATTAGAAAGACTAAAGGAAAATCCTAAAGTTACTTCCATGAGATTCGAACACTTAACCCCTTAACCATGTAGAGCAACTGTTGCCACTTGATTTGAACTTAGTTTATTGACTTGTAATGCTTTGAGATTTATTTATTATAAGAGAATTACATAAATGAATAAATTTGATACACTTGGGATTCCAACTCAAGTTTTGTGTGAAATTAATAGAGACTCCAACCACAGGAGCTACTTCTAACATTTTAAAATATGTTGCATTATATTATATTTAATATAAATCATCAAAATTCAATCAATTCGATTTTTTTACCAGTCAAACTGATTCAACCAACAAAATCATGAACCAAAAGTCAAAATGATTTGACCACCAATTCGGTTTTGAAAACAATGTTTTAGACCGACCTTCTATTGGATTTGAAAGAAGAAATCAACCGATAGGTTTCAGTCTGTTCCATATTTGACTGGCCTCTTTAGTGCAATGCTTTAGAGCTACTACGCCTTACTCAAAGCTGATGCTTTCCTTCTCATCACCATCAATGCTTTTCGTTGTGTTGTTGAGACTATTTACATCGCTCTCTACATGACTTATGCCCCAAGGAAAGTGAGGGTAACAAATAAATTTACATATGTATAAAAAGGAAAAAAAAAAAAAAACAAATATTCCTGTTCTTTTTGCAAGAAAATGAATCTTATATATTGTCTAATTATTTTAAATTGATGTTTATAAATGCAGATTTTTATCTTGACATTACTTGTTTTGTTAAATTTAATGGGATTCAGCTTAATTCTTCTTTTCTCCTATTTCTTAACAAAAGCATCGATATGTGTTCATGTTTTGGGATGGATTTGTATGGTATTTTTTCTCATTTTCTTTGTGGCACCTTTAAATATTATGATGAGGAAATATTTTAATTAGTATAAATAATCCTAGTTTTGGCCTTCCCACTTAACAAACATAAGCTTTTTACCTAAAAATTGTACATGTGGACTAACCATTTGCTAATTAACGTACAGAGGCTGGTAATTCGGACCAAAAGTCTGCAGTACATGCCTTTTAATTTATCACTTTAATTACCTCAACGTTAGCGTTGTTGTGTCGCTCTTTTATGCCACATTCCGTAAGGACTTGCATGTTACAGTAAGTGTTTAATGGTTAAGAGTTTTTGATAACTCTAAACTAAATATTTTAAATTGAAATTTTAAAATATAAAATGAGGCATAATTTTAAAAAATAATTTAAAAATAATATTTTTATATATTAATTTTTCTATATAATTGATTTTTTTATATAATTGATTTTTTTATTTAATATTTATAATATTAAATATATTTATTTAATTAATAATATATAAAAATTATATTAAAAAATTATATAAAAAATTATCTCCATACCATTTTGCTTTATTTTATATGTAAAAAAAAAAATCATATTAGCTCAGGTGACATCACCTCAACGAAAGAGCTTGGCAACTCAACTTTTAATTTCCTCCCTTAAAAGTTAGCTTCATTAATTAATCACTTGATCAAAATAATAATAATTAATTAATTAGAGGAAGAATTTGATTGCAGATTCTCAACATTCTTGGAGTCATCTTTGGGTTGCGTGCAACGTTGTTAAGAACGGCGATTTACTTTATAAGAACATGTGATCCCTAGAATGTTAACTAGATTCAACGATTTAAATTATATAAAAATTAAAAATCTTAATAAAAGGTCAAAAATCACAATCAAGATTGTAAGATCATGAGATTTGTGACCTTAATTTTAAACAACTTTAAAATTAAATCTTAAATAAATTTAGAAATCAAATTCTTCTAAAATTATAAATGATGCCTAATTATTTATATAAATCTTCATAATTAGAAACAAAAAGGTACGCTAAACT